CCCCCCCCCCCCCCCCCCCCCCCCCCCCCCCCCCCCCCGTGACACGCCCGCGCATCTCGTTACTGGGTCCTAAGTCCCTCCATGTACAGCTTCTTATCACCCTCTATGTACCAACGTACATTTATAACAAATACCACACATATTACACAGTAATCAGCATTGCATAGTGTCTGACCAAAAAAAGAAATGATACATTTTAATGATTTTTTTCGAGTTTTTAAGTGATTTGTTTGTAATATGTATAATAAGCATATCATTTAGTTATTGCTACTGAGAATTTATCAAACATTAAAAAAAGAAGAAAAAAACATGATGAAGATAGGTTTGCAGTTTTCAAGGTGTATGTTTCAAATTGCATCTATTACACACGAAGATAAAGTTGTGAACACCGGCTGAATATCTATTGTCAGAATCATAACTGTATTTTAACTGCTACTGTGTGCGCATAAAAGTGCGCAATACACTACTTTTGAATTCATTATTGAACTTTGCGCATAACAATGCAATTAATCGCGAAAAAATCATGTGATTAATCACGATTAAAAATTGTAATCGTTGCCCAGCACTAATAAATACATTTTTTTGTATTTTTGTATGTATTTTCTTATATAGCAAAATGGGACTACGAATTCGTTGCACAACCCTGTGCAACGAATAATTACTTTTACTTGTTTAATTTAAATTTTCAGCTAACTATTTCACATTTAGGCCTATGCAATTTATTTGGATATTTCAACTGTTTAGCCGTTTATCCGTGGATGATTTACTTTAAACTAACCATTTATCCACAACCTATTCTAACCGTTTTAATCATTATTTTTAGGTAACTAAACGTTTTACTTTTAAAATGAAGGGAGATAATGGGCATGAACAAGAATCTGCTTACTGACCCTAAGGCCTACTAGCATGCAGTGGCATTTGGAACAAACATTTAGGGACCCTAAATGAAATGTTGTTCCATCCGCAGGTCAAATTTTCATTTGATCAGAGGTCATTAAAATTGAATCTGATTTACCTCGTCCAGCAGATTTTCTGGGATTTTCTTTTTATTGATCGCTGCAGCTCTACGGATCAACTTATTTGCTTCTTCGGTTCTTCCCTGTCCAAGTAACCACCTTGCAGATTCCGGAATCCACCTGAAAATATTAATCACAGTCCAGGTGTTGGAGTCACTCACAAACTGTCTAAATCAGAAACTAATCTACCAACAAGGTTAATTTCTCATCAATCTTCCAAAAGACACTGGTTTTATCTCAGTCTGTAAAGTAACACTAGAGCTATGAAACCATGGGACACACATGGCTAAACTGGGTTTGTCCAGGTATACAGTGGGTTTGTCCAGGTATACAGAGGTCGAAGGAACTGCCCAAGGAGCTCAGAGACAGAATTGTGGCAAGGCACAGATCTGGCCAAGGTTACAAAAGAATTTCTGCAGCACTCAAGGTTCCTAAGAGCACAGTGGCCTCCATAATCCTTAAATGGAAGAAGTTTGGGACGACCAGAACTCTTCCTAGACCTGGCCGTCCAGCCAAACTGAGCAATCGTGGAAGAAGAGCCTTGGTGAGAGAGGTAAAGAAGAACCCAAAGATCACTGTGGCTGAGCTCCAGAGATGCAGTAGGGAGATGGGAGAAAGTTCCACAAAGTCAACTATCACTGCAGCCCTCCACCAGTCGGGGCTTTATGGCAGAGTGGCCCGACGGAAGCCTCTCCTCAGTGCAAGACATATGAAAGCCCGCATAGAGTTTGCCAAAAAACACATGAAGGACTCCCAGACTATGAGAAATAAGATTCTCTGGTCTGATGAGACCAAGATTGAACTTTTTGGCGTTAATTCTAAGCGGTATGTGTGGGGAGAACCAGGCACTGCTCATCACCTGCCCAATGCAATCCCAACAGTGAAACATGGTGGTGGCAGCATCATGCTATGGGGGTGTTTTTCAGCTGCAGGGACAGGACAACTGGTTGCAATTGAAGGAAAGATGAATGTGGCCAAGTACAGAGATATCCTGGAAGAAAACCTCTTCCAGAGTGCTCTGGACCTCAGACTGGGCCGAAGGTTCACCTTCCAACAAGACGATGACCCTAAGCACACAGCTAAAATAACAAAGGAGTGGCTTCGGAACAACTCTGTGACCATTCTTGACTGGCCCAGCCAGAGCCCTGACCTAAACCCAATTGAGCATCTCTGGAGAGACCTGAAAATGGCTGTCCACCAACGTTCACCATCCAACCTGACGGAACTGGAGAGGATCTGCAAGGAAGAATGGCAGAGGATCCCCAAATCCAGGTGTGAAAAACTTGTTGCATCATTCCCAAGAAGACTCATGGCTGTACTAGCTCAAAAGGGTGCTTCTACTCAATACTGAGCAAAGGGTCTGAATACTTATGACCATGTGATATTTCAGTTTTTCTTTTTTAATAAATTTGCAAAAATTTCTACATTTCTGTTTTTTTCTGTCAAGATGGGGTGCCGAGTGTACATTAATGAGAAATAAAATGAACTTTTTTTGATTTTAGCAAATGGCTGCAATGAAACAAAGAGTGAACAATTTAAAGGGGTCTGAATACTTTCCGTACCCACTGTATATATGATCAGGAAGTGAAATGAATCATTAAACAACACATACCATATGTACACGAATATAAAGGCCTGCCCTCCTGCTATGACGTACTGCACCATTCTCCAGTCACGGATAGCATAGACCAGACCAGCCATGCCACACTGTCCAACAGCTGAAAACATCTGGCTCATGCAGGAGGCAAAGGATCTTTTGGTGACTCCAATCCACTCCGTAGCTACAAACATAAGTCAAACACCAAAATCACATCTGAGCTGGAATAAAAAAGCATTTTCTAAGACAGTTCCATGCTTGTGATAGCCTATTGAACATAAATCAGAGACATGTTGGTTAGATAAAAAAAGAAGTCGTCATACCTAATACAGTGGAGTTCATTCTATATCCTCCGAGTGCAGCTCCAACTATGAACTGTGACACTATGTAAACGTAGATGTTCGGAGACACGCCAGCAACTATGACGAATATTAGCAAGAGAACAACTGGCAACTGGGTGGTTCTCCTGCGGCCGTACCTAAAGTTTAGAGAGTGGTTGACCGTCAAATGAAGGGTTTGAAGGTTTCCTTTCACTTTACCTAATTTATCTTTCTCAAGTCACTTACGATTCAGCTGTGGGGCCAAAGATGAATGAACCAGCAGGTAAACCGGCCATGAAGATTGTCTGTGCAACTTCAGCCATGTTAGACTTGTCACAGACGAGGTCAAGCTGCAAAACAACACTGTCAAAAAGCCGTAGGGCTGAGAATAAACTACAAATCATCATTACCAACTTACATCAGTGACTATGGTGGCCTCATAGAGCGTGTCATGGTACACCCATCCTTTCATGCACCCTGTGGTCTCATTAAGTCCGTACTCCCTGATGGCCCCGATGTCCCAGTCCACAGGGACAAACATCTGACACCTGCTGAAGGTCCCATCCTCCTCCCGGGGCAGAGTCAGGTTCAGCTGCTCATCTGTGGTCAGGTTGGAGTCAGCCTGAAGGATCCAGTCTGTGTTACAGTGTCGCTCTGGATCCGACTGGATAAAAAGAAAACTGCAAAAACAGATGGGCAATAAGAAATTTGGGAAGGCTAACGCAAGAACGATGAGCTTCTGGAAGAAGCCAAACTCTCCGATGGTCCTCAGAATCTCTCCAAAATCCACCATTTTCACACTGCAGATGATGTGTGAAACTCTGGTTGAATTTCGTATATAAGCTCAGGTTCAAAATAAATGTTTAACCATCTGTAGTCAGTAATTAAGTGGAACAAAAGGTCGACCTGTTAAAGCAAAAACTGTGAAAACCAGAATTTAAGAAATCATATTTAAATTAAATAGTGTCCTCACTCATTGAATTCCATCATGTGACTTTATTCAGCTACTAAAATCATTTGCATTTGTTGTCATTTTCCAATAAGCTATACATGTCAAGGAATCTCTTATCACAAATATTCCACTTCAAATTATGCATTCGATGTACACATTTCAAAATCAATGATATTTTAAAAATATATAATGATCTGTAAAAAAAAGAAGAATTTACTCGCCAATTAAATGATTAAATTAATACTAATCATTCAGGGACTCCATGAGAGGCAGAATGTTTGGTTTTCTGATGAGTAAACAATAAAGGGGTAAAGTAATTTAGAAAATCTAAATGCCTTTCAGCTCAAAGCCTTTGATAATCGATAATTGTATCACCAAATTCCCCCCCCCCCCCCACACACACACACACGGAGAGAGAAGTGTGACCTGCGTCGCCCGTCTAATTAAAATGACTGTGTCCGTTAAGCCTTGTACAGGTTTCAGTGAGAAAACTGCATGTCATGACATCAAAAGCAGAGTGTGTAAGATTTCAAGCCCCCATGTAAATACTCATGTTAACATATCAATAAGGTGCTAAGTGAACAAATCATTTGTGCATGACTAGTGATGCTCTGACAAAGGCCAACAGTGGAAAAAACTACAAAACAAGTTAAACTCTGTGTACTGAAGGTGATGAGTCTAAATCTGCCTTGAGCTATATTTACAAGTGAAATGATCCTTTTATCCGACACTTAAAACAGTCAATGCATCTACATCGTTACAGACAAACCTCATGATGTTTGAGTGACAGTGCATGGAGTTGCCATCATACGTACATTTACAACATCTTTACATACACCATTTACATCAGTACCGGAACTAGGAGGCATCTCGCAGCCCTTTGCACGTGGTACAAAACCAAGCGGCTACACAGGGAGTGATGACGGGGAGGTGTTGGGGAGTGTTAATAAAGCGAGAGAGACTACAGTACTGTCACAACAACTTGCCTATATGATAAAAACTAAGGAAATAACTGGCCACTGCAGACATTTAAAGGGTTACTTCAGCCAAAATATGAAATATTTACCTGGAGTGGTATCCGGACATGCAGATAGTTTGGGTTTCTATTTGTTGAGGTTTTGAGAGAACCATCTCAAGCTTCCTGCTGTCCCTCGATACAATGCAGGTAAACACAATGTAGTTTGTTGTTGCTCGAGGCATTGAACAAAGAGTGTACAGCCATGCTAGCAGCTCAGCGAGGCTGTCTGGAGGCACTGCAGTGCTTTGAACTAAAGGCTCATCTCAGCTTGCCAACATGTTCACGATGGCAACGCCAACATGTTCACGATGGCAACGCCAACACGCTGATGTTTAGCGGGCATGTTTTTTTTGGGCGGTCAAAATCTTACGTTTAGCATGTTAGCATGCTAACATTCGCTAATTCGCGCTAAACACAAAGTACAGCCGAGGATGACGAAAATGGTATTAGCTTTGCATGCATACGACCAAATTAAACCAACTCATCCTTTAAGGAGCGTGACTAATTATTTTGAATTTCGGTCTGGTCACTAACGTGAGACTGGCCACAAACATTCCGTTCACCTCTGTTGTGTCAGAATGGAGGCAAATGAGACTAAACTATCTGCTAAATACCACTTGAGGCAAGTGACAAAACATGTTTTTTGTGTGCGTGTATTTCTTTGCAATTTGGGTGGAGGGTTAGAATATATTTCACTTTTGGTTGAACATTATCAGTTTTTGTACATGCATTATTGACCTGTAACACCAGCAGCTCCAGGCTCGACACTCATTGCCAGCATCCTTCCTGAACTGTAGTAATGGGTAACGGGCTAAATGCAGGTTCCTAAATCTGCTGGGGTGGCTTCATGAGCTTCTAGTACGAGCACAATAAGTGGATTTATTCAACCCGAGAAATAATATTAGCAATCAGTGGTCTCTCTCACACACACACACACACACTCTCACACACACACACACACACACACACACACACACACACACGGTGAAAGGAAAACACCTATTGCATAGTACAAGAATATTAGGCAGGCATCAATCTGTGAAAATAATCCTGTCTTTGAATACCTCGGGAACCATCTGACAAAGTGTCGTTACTGCAGTTATGGGACAGAGCAGTTGTATTTCAATCAGAGCCTAAACTCTTTGGTTATGTTTTGACAAAACCACCACACCTTGGGCTGCCTTCAACAGGAATCTGGTAATTTGTTTATATTCTACGTAAAAATCCATCTGAATGTACAGAATTACAAAACTAAAACTATGCTACAGTGTGTTTCACTAAGTGATTTGTATCAGTGTCACAGGGGCTTTTCTGAGATTTCTTCAGATAGGCGTACATAAAACACACCTCGTAATCACAGATGGACTCTTGTAATATCTGTAGTTTGACTAACTAAGGCTTTTCAATTTCAGTGTAGCATAAAGTGCCATATAAAGTAAGCACGACACTCGAGTGAGTTTTGTGGCACAGTTGATTTAAGAAAAACAAAATAAGAAAAAACAAAAGGCAATCACTTCCAGTACTGGCAGGAGATGGTTTGGATTGTGCTCATGTATGAAGTGGGGGGGAAGAAGAAAAAAAAAAAAAGAAGAAAGAAATAAGGAGTTGATATAGTTGATTGCATCTCTTCTCCCATTTACTGTATAAGCGCACTGTAAACATTTCAAGTGTGATTCCTGTTATGAACTGAGCCCCTTCTCAATGTGGTCCTCATGCATCCTGCAGTAGTGTCACACTCCTGCCAGCTTCCTGTCTCCTCATCCTCTTCTTCCTCCTCGTCGTCGTCTCTTTGGCAGCAGTGGTTTCTTGGAATTGACTACAATGCAGCTGTGCAATACCATTAGTTTCTATCCTCCGTTGGTGGCTCTACTTGACTTAACTGATGCTGAGCTGCGCAAATCCAATGAGTTTAATATCATCGGGAATTTCAGACTCCTCCACGCCGGATGCCTGGAAGAGAGGGAAAAAGGTGTGAAGTGTATATAGTGTCTGTATATGTATGTGTGTATATACACACACGTTTCTGTCAGTGTACTTACCAATTTAAAAGTCACATTTTTGTTACTATGAGGATCATCAACAATCTTTTGCAAATTGGCAGCAACTAGACGGAAGATAAAAGGAAATGTGAGGACCTCGTCAGATGACCAGCGAATGCAAGAACAGATGACAAGACTTTTCCATCAAGTACATTTTATTTATATATATATATATAATATATATATATAATATATATATATAATATATAATATATATATATAATATATAATATATATATATAATATATA